GGGGAATCAATGTTTACTTTGTAATATAATGATGGACATTTTTCTTAAAATTATTTCAAGCATTTTATCAAAAATAAATTGTGATATCAAGTCCTTCGCAACCCCTATCACATCTTGTTAGATTTACAAGTGCTGGATAATTAAAGGATTAACCTTTGAACATCTCTACCTGCACATCAAAATCGAAAGTAAAAATAATGAAAGTAAGAAACTGATTAGCTGATAAAAATAGACATCTTTTATTGTCCAATAAGATTAAAGCATCTGATAACTTTCTTATCATCTGATATTTTTCAATATAATTTAATCATCTATTGTTTCAGGACTTAAGCATTCCTCGAGAAGCATCGGGAATATAATTAATCTCTTTTTCAATGACATAAACTTTTCTAAGCAAGTTGTAACCAAGTTTAAGTTCAGTCGTCAATAGCCCAGTTTTCAATGCAATTTTTCAATTGAAAATATCTAATATTCGAATGCAAATCGAATAGTTGAATGGTAAAAATCATCATTCGTGTGAGCTCAATAATAATCATCAAACAAAAATAAGCAAGTTACCATGTACTTGAATTGTGGGCAAATAAAAAGATCATGGTACTAACAAACTATGAGGGTGTAGGTATAACTTACAGGGTTGTACAAAGAAAACACAATTTTGTGATGGAATCATGATGGTTAAGCTTTGTACAGATACCATAATTTAAAGTTGGCTTTTTAATATGATGAACATTTTCCTAAACTAAACCATGAACGTGCTGATATCTCATCCACTTTATTCCATATATCATGTCCAAGGAACAGATAGGGCCAAATTTGAATAAAAACAATGTTTATAAAATAGGGTTCATCTTGCATCGGTTTATTTTGTCAGAATTAAAGGTTTCTGATGGTATCATGGTCCTGACATGAATGCAAAAATTAGAAATAATGATTCAAAACCATGAAGTACATTATAGCAATTTAGACTAGCTAAAGTCAGCGGAGTGAAGATGTCTTAAGAACGCTATTAAGCATTATCATTATCCAAATTCACTTGCAGGAAATTTAAGTTAATTGATTTGAACCTTCCTATAAAGGTGCTTAGAAAGACATAGATTTGGCAGACAAAGTCAAGAGTCCTAAACCACAGTACTACCATTGACTTATTGAAATAAGGTGACTTGAGTAAACAATCAACTATTTGGTTAAAGGTGTAGCTTTTCAAGATTACTCAATGGATCAATCAACCTTGGCCTGGGTAGGTTCAATAAAGATCAGTAACACTTGTTTAATAGTTTTATTTACCAAAGTGAAACCTTGTATTAAGTTAATTGAGTTCACCACTTTTAACAGACACCTGCCGTTACAATTACTGAATGAATTTAATTCATAGTTTAAATTCAAGGTGTGAAATTAAATCTGTAATATTATTTATTATAAAGTTTTAGTTTCCTATATTTCAATTTTATATCCTCAACAAAAGGACTTTTTTTGACCGAAAGAAATTGTTCATAATGGCTGCCATTTTGGTATGGCACATACAAAAATGTTTGAAATTATGACATTTAATACCGGTATGTCAAATGTAAACAACAACCTTTAATATAACATCATTGACTGGGGCCTTAAATATTCAGTCTACATGCAAAAATTTATCATAAATGGCACCCACTGCCTGCTGCTGAAACAAACAACAAAATTGTTCAAGGTTTACAATTTCATCGGCTTTTCATTTTCCTTTTTACCAAAAGTTTGCAACCTGAGAAAATAAAAACATGAGCTTACAATATCACTTTAAAACTTAATTTTACAGCAAACAATTTTCAGTCAAAATTTGATCAATGAAGCTTAGAGAGAAGTCTGTTCTTAGTCATTCTAAGATTATGAGTTCCATTTTGAAGCTGATATTCAGGTTCAGTTAAAAAAAAATCATCAAACTTCACTTTAATACAGAATGTGCTAAGACAATAGGTCAACAGAAATTCTAATCTGTATTGAGAGACAACTACATGTATAATAGGTTTTAATTATTTGAAGAATGTCAAATGGAATGTTGGTCACCTTATAACTATTTGTGTCTAATTTTCTCACAATTAACTATTGAGGTTAAACCTTGGCAGAATGACATCCAGTTCAGATCACATTATTTACATATACGATAAACACATATGTAAATGAGGTTTTATATCCTTATTATTCTGTATCATCAGCAGTTTAGGTTTTGACTGTATTTAACATGGATGTTTGTGGTTTATGTAATTGAACCAATGACTGTTCTTGAAATAATCTGGTCATGGTTTCTGGTTGAATGACAGGAACAACTGACATCAGACAGGCATTGGTACAAATGAATGTTTCAAGTGTCCCTTATACAGATACAAATTTTATAAAACCTTTTTCTAATCTTAAAGCATAATGCTTAACTTGAACTTTTCTATGGTAACTAATATCAAGGGGGGGTGGGTGGTTTACCATGTCATTTTGTTCCTGAACAGAATATTAAGAATAGCCTTGTATCTTTCCTCTAAAGCTTCAATAAGAGAATTATTTCAGTTTGAGTGTTTATTTCCCTCCAGATAAAATGTTGACCAGTTTTATCAGTGCAGTTTTATCAATTAAAGATTTTCTAGGTCTATTACACCAAACTCTTATCTCATTGACATGTTTACATTACAATCATCTAAACCATGTAAACACCCTGTACACCCCTATATTTACCACTCAGACTTTCACAATCTACGTACTGGACACAGTCTACTGATTTTACAGTCTACTGATTTTACGCCTAAATAATGCGACTTAAATTGAAGTCAAACTAGGTGACATATATTTTTCTACATGAATGAAAATGAATAATTTTATATATAAAAAAACTTTTCATCCCTTTTAGTACCAATCTTTCTTGTGAAAATTACCCACTTTTAGGACTGAAAATGCCCTTCTGTATTGTTTGTAAACATCAACTTTTCCAGTGGTTAATATTTCCTTCAACCCAAAGACAAAGACTCTCAGGAGTATTTTGTATTTGATATTTAAATTCATATGAAAATAATTGCCAAATTTCGAATCAGATTTGCCGGCAACCATGTGAAAGCTTCCTCGGGTAAGCGCGAAACTGTTCATTTATGAGCTTGCACTGCGCATGTCGAACAATGCCCGAGTAACATTGTTGTGGAAGCGTGGCGCAAGTAAACAAGCGCGAAATTTATATTACAAGGCCATATAATCAACTGTTGGTTGATAACAAAATCTTTGAGCACTAGGACGTAGAACTACAAGCAATAGATGGCAACTGGGTTTTTTCAGTCGTCTGAGTGCAATGCAGACTGTGGACACCGAATCTATCAGATACTCTCAGATGCTGCACTATTAAGGCATTAAGAACTGCAAACAAACATATACCGTACCCAGATTTCACCAAAATATATTCAATTGCTCTCCAGAAACATACAAAGTATGTATGGGTCCTATATTGAATAACACACACAACTTAGCTCAGAATCATTTTGAATCTGCACCTTTTATTTCAACAAAGCTTTCAAATCACATTTCAATGACTTTAAATTGTGATTTGAAGGCTTAATTAAAATATCACAGCCTTTATCAAAATTTGACTTATTTAGACACCATAGAATTCAGAAGCTGACAGAGGTGACAAGCCCTTCCATTTAAGCAACATGGTTAAGATTAGAAAATCCAGACAAAAAAATGTCTTATTACAGTGTAATATCTGGAGTATGATATGTTAAGGAAGAGAACCTGATATAATATAAAGAATGAGTAATCTAGTAAACAATTATCTAGACATAATATATATAATCTAATAAAATGTCATTTCCTTTTCAAACTTCATACAGACACATGTCTCATTTTGAAAAGACACAATAAAAGATTGAACTTCTGGCTCACTCTCCTACATTTCAGATCTTTATTCAGTTTTAACTTCAAATGATAACTTAGGTGACATTAAAAAATTTCCCCCTGTTTGAAACAGTTTCAATTTGATTTTTATCATTTTGTTCATAAAATCTGTTCTGCAGATGCTACTGTGAAAATTTTCATCTCAGACAATTTCCTCACAACTATAGACTACTTGTCATTATTGCAGTCGTTTTGGCATTTTACAATCAAAAAAAAAATGGTTGGACACTTCCTTGTATGTATCTTGACTTGAAGCCAAAATCAGATGTAAACTACTCAGATTTGTCCCTTCATGTTTAAGCCATTCTACATATCAAATAATATCTTAACATCAGACAACTGAATTCACTGTGTAGTAATATAGAGGGGAAATGAGTCATTCACAAACTTCTTAAAACTGACAACCAGAGATAACATGATACTCTCCTTTCTTCAGACATAGATACTAACCACTTCAGGGTTATCCCAATAATAGTTTATATTAATTTTGTCATTTATTTTCAACTCTAAACAGATATTTGTGAATAGTTCTTAGGTCTACCAGTTAAAGATGAACTTTTTTTCTACTTATAATAAACCCAATATTTTGATCATTTAAACAATGTTCTGATTTAAAATGATAAAACAAACCACAAAGAAACTGTGAAACAATACCTAACTCAAGTGCAAGTACTGGAATACTTAGTTGCAAATGATAGAGTAGATACCAATCAAAGTCAAAGACCAGAAGCTCAACAAGGCTTCCTCACCTTATTAACTAACAAGGAATTCTTTAGAAGAAACATAGACAAGTAAGATTGGCCCTACTTAACTTTTTAGCTCTATGACGTTCCCGACCCCAGCAACTCAACTAAAAATGTGGAATCAAAAAAATGTGTAGACCCTGGCTAGGCTTGGCCTATCAGTTTTTGTAATAAGATTAATTTTATTTATCAAGTTGACAACCCAAGTTCGAAATGTTATGATTTTGCAGTCATTCTTATCACACCATTCTTTTATTTTCATCCACACAATTGTCATCAACAGAACAAATCAGGTTTGACATTGTTAAATAGAGTACTGACATTAAGCATGAATAGGAATAAAAGTAAAATACAAACCTTTTAAGTCGAAAATTTGTTAAAATCCAAAGTTTCTTCGTCTTCTCTCTTCTCGTGAGACAACTGAATGTGTTGTACTCGTTTATGTGTGACAAATTCGCGCGTATTAAGTGGGCGTGTCTCTTATGACCATATTTGGGTAGGTGATAACTGTTAACATTACTTAAAAGGATTTGTGAATTGTATACCATCAAAATAGATCGGCTTAATTGAAATATGATTGTCTGTAAGTTAAAGATTAAAAGTTTCATGAAAATGTTTGAAAAGTTATATTTATGACTTCGTAACTTATTTTTATATTAATAACATGAAAATAATTTCATTCATTATTGCCGTTTTTATCTGTGTGCAGTGTAGCCTAGTGATGTTTGCAAAAGTGTATCTCCATGCTCATAGATGTGACTTACTACTGCAAGTATGAGAGCAACTCATATCATTCCTCTTTTTGACTTGTAACTAGTAACGCAGGCTTGTACTTTTTTCACTTTGAATGGGAAAAGAATTTTGTCCAATTGCGTTAACTTCTGCAGAGTTATTTCCCATAGCTTAAAGTATGGTTTCTATTCGTTTGTTGTATTGCAAGACAAAATCCAAATAGTATTTATTTGTAATTCAGAATAATTGTCTCAAGCACAGATCCAAAACCCAAGTCAACTGTCAAGGTGGCCTTTGTTAATGATAAATTTCTAAATCCAGTGAAGTTTTTGTCAAGTTGATTCAATTGTCAAAAGTGTAAATGAAGTGGATTTTTAGGTTTCTTTTGTTTTTTTTTTTATGGAGAAACAAAATAAAGAAGGGTATCCAAGAAATATTTTTTACAGAACTTTGGGGTCTGCAAAGAGGAAATCAAATACAGCTTCCCCCTGTAGTCTTATACACTTCAAAAATGTTCTTCTTCTGCATTATCCATATTAATAGAAGAATAAACAGCCATTGAGACTTCGTGCATACATCACAACATGGTCGTTGATTTATCAAAGAAAAGACATTTGATTTAATTTTCATTTAATAATCATGCATAATTGTTAGATAAAGCCAAAATATATACAAGAACCAAGCTACTTTATTAGTATCACATATAAATTGGCAGAAACAACAATTCTTAAAACTGCAAACCCATAAGAAATACTTTCACTTGGAAAAAATAATTATTAGGGCATGGTTGTATATCCTAAATGATAGCACATTATTTATTAGTAACTATAGAACGGTGAATATTAATATAGTAATTCAACAATTCCACCAAAATATACCACATATATATACAGTACTGTGGCATAGGTAGATAACAAAACATAGGTTTACATAGTATTCTTATATTTGTGTAAGATTATATTATGTGCAAGGTGCTAAGAAAACATCAAATTGTTTAAAGAAACTCCAAATAATAATCAATCTGGATCAAATCAACTGTGAAATGATTGGAGGATATAAATTTTAATCCAATTAAAATACAGTATTGCTCATCCTATTCTGGAATATCAAGTGATTAACAATTTGGTTTTGTTATAGTTATTTTGCCCGGTAAATTCATCTATTGTAATCTAACACAAACCAAACACAAACAAGAGCACAAATTAGACTAATAACATGATAAAAAGTAAAGGAAAATGTACAAAAGCAATTATTAATATTTACAAGCCAAATTTATTGACTTAATATAAACAAATGACACAAAATTAAAAGAATTAATAAATTAAAGACACTCCTTGATTTGGAAATTAAAATGAACAAATTGAAAATAAAATCAAAATTTACAGTAATTCAGTTAATCATTCATTAACAACTGAATAAAAATTCTTGGCATTGTGAGATATCATGAAATTTGAAGAAATTCTATCAAGAAATACATCTCTAAAATTTACAAAGATGTATTATCAAAGACTGGTGTAGAATAAAATATGTCTTCAGATCTAGGATTCCAGGTTATTTTTCACCATTCATTTCTCCCATAATATGATCAGGTTCCATACCCTTATCATATCTAGATAGCATTCTCTCATATAAATCTTCTAAATTAGACGCATAAATTTTGGTATTAAACAGTGGACTCATAGTTCTAGCTAGATAAACTTTAGCTTGCATAGCTTGTAATCTGAAAATAAAATCCAATCATAATTAACAGCGGTTTATATTGTGATTATCATTCTATTATTATACACTTATCAATGATGACCCTCTGTTGATGACTTCTGAACAGGTTCCATCTTTCTGAACAGGTTCCATCCCCTCCCCCCCCCCCTTTATTTAAACTTTGAATCATAAACAGTTTGTTGCTCTCTAATGTGTAGTATAAAACATGAATAGCTTCCAAATCTACCATTCCAATTTCCTGTCCTCAGATGTCCATGTTCTTTGCAATTATAGAAAAACTTGGCCAAATTAAGATGTCACTATGGTATATGCCTTTAATTGTATTTTCAATATAATGTCTTAATAGTGTCAAGTTTCTCTGAAATAAAAATATTAGCTATGTGAACACTCTGAAAGTTGCACACTTTACAAGCAGAATGAAAGAAACAATGCCAACCTACCTTTTAGGATTATTGCCCAATTCAGCTGCTATTCTAACATAGTCTTCTCTAGATTTAGCCACTAATTCAGGACAACCTAATGCGTGTAGTTGTGAGGAAGCCACTCTAGAGGCTAAGGTTTCACCTACAAAATAAAATATTACATTTTCATTACAAAATTACTTTTAGAACAGAGATGGTCATAGTAAAAACTGTAATATAGGCTGTGATTGGGTAACATAAGAATGCTGTTCTGATATAACAAAACACAAGGCAATATTATGAAATATAATACATGTCTTTAATAAGGTTGGGCACATAACGTTTCAACACAATATACACTTGTCGTCATCAGATGTAATGACAAGAGAACAAAACATAACAAAATATATACCAACAAGAAACAATATAGAGATTAAGAGGGACAATAGATAAAAGGGTAATATTAAGTGATTAAGAGAGATAATAGATAATTATTAAAAAAGTGTGTTATATTCCATAATATTGTCTTGTGTTTTGTTATATGTGCTCCTCACTTCTATATGTCATTCAAATCTTATATGCTGTTCTGATGTTTGAATGTTGATCGTCTTTGTGTTTCTTGATTTTGAAATAAAGATTATATTTACCAGGAAGAGTAACCATTGGTGTACCAGCCCATAATATATCCATACCAGTAGTATGTCCATTACATAATGGTGTATCTAAACATATATCAGCTAACTGACCACGTCTTACATGTTCCTCCTACAATTACAAAGATAAATATATTTATTTAGAATGAAAGAACAGGGATCTTGACACTTCCAGCGTCAGACTCCACTGTTCACTTACCATTTGCCTAAATTTCCCATTTACATAACCCACTAAAAGCATCTGTGATGGCAAAAACATTTTCCACCCAAATTAAACACTTTATTTAAATAAACCAGATCTTTAAAGCATATGTACAATTTTTGTTAAGATTGAATTTTTGGTACTTCTTTACAATATCTCTGTTGAATATAGCAAAAGAAACAACTATATTTTACAGGGATAACAACTTAGGTTCACAGTTATGGATCGTTTCTACCAGCTGCTCCTTGACCAAACCTCTTGGCATTAATCTTTCCCAGATTATCTCTACCCATTTACAGCTGGGTCGACTGGAATTATGAGTGAAGATGACTTATTCAAGGTAATCGAAATTCCTGACAGAACCGACAGCCGCTATTTGCTAGACGTAAACAAGCAAATGATATCATGTAAAGAACCAACACTCTAACCGACTGTGGAATAGAACCTCACAAAAAGCAAAGTGGACATAATTACCTTAGGAGCAACGTTTGAGAAAATAAATCTGTTTTGTTGAATTCCAAAATTCTGTGCCCAACGAACTATATTGGGTTCTCCTACAGCTGGAAAGCGTAATAACCATAAATAACTATTAGGTACTTGTTTTAATACCTCTAACCACATCTCTAGGGTAGCAGGGTCTATTTTATACAGTTGATTAAAATTACAGTATATAATAGCATCTTCTGGTAATCTATATTGACTACGACATGATAGTATTATATTCTGAGGTACTTCTTCACCAGTAGCTGTTTTATTATCAGTCTGAAATATATATATTATGTTAGTGGACATAAATATGGCATTTTTCAACCTAAACTCTAAGTTATGTAGGTTGATCTGGGACAAATCTTGCCACTCAATGACTTGGGTTTGTCAACTCATATTTCATAAATTCCCTTTTTTTGTTTTGGAATATTTATTTCACCACGGTGGACCAGTCTAATTAAAGTAAGACCAAGCTTTTGCTCCGTTTTTGTTATTAGCTTCTATTTCTAATAAAGCCACTTCTGTTAGGATCTAACGACAGCCTTCTTAAACTTTTTCATTCAAATCAGATGAAAATTGTATTTTCTATTGCGTTCACAAGCCAATTGTGGACGACGGACCAACAGACGGACATGGGTGATGACAACATACATCCACATTATAATGTGGGCGTATAAAAATGGAAAACCAATATTAGGACACCTTAAGATAATTTGCTACACATCTTACAAATATTCTTTGGAATTTAAATAAATAATTGAACTAAGCTAACTCACCATGCTAGTAGTAAGACCATTTTGAACAACGACATCTTGTATAGTAGCACTAGCTTGACTTTCTTTTACTAATAACTCAAATGCATTGATAACTTCCTGTGGTAAATCTATAACTTCTGTAGTTAGTTCTGCAGCTTCTCCATTAGGACCATCAGTGGTACGACCATGTAAACATTGAATTTTAATATACTGAAAATAATTTGTATAGAACTCAATTATTTAATTCAAATTTCAAAAAAATATTTGTTGTATCACAATCACTATTACTAACTTTCTTAATAACTTGACTGCAATAGCCACCATCCTTGTATCAAAGATGATTATAAATGCAGCCATGCAATTGGATTGTACGCTAGCGAATACAACCAATCAGAGCACTATAAAGACATAATGTTGACAGTCTTTCTGTTGAGGGCTCTGATTGGCTATTGTACAATCCAATCAAACTGCTATATTATGTGATACAAGAAAGGTGGCTATTGCATTCAAGGTATTAAAAGAAGTTTATTTCCTTTATTTAAGTTCAGTATCCATATATCCACGCAATTGTTTTCTTTTCTAATCACATTCAACCACACAATGTATTTATCATAGAATTCACACCTGACTTTCAGTAAAATCCATACTGGAGTATTCTACTAGGAAATAAGATTTCCAACATTTCAGTGAGTATGAATTATATTTCCTACTGGATTAACTTCTGATTCCAATTTATTCAAGAGGTAACCAATACACCATAAAAGCACATCCATTCAAAATTCAATACAACCAGTAAACCCAAACAAAGTTTTAAGGCAATATATGGTTTATGAGAATGTAGTACATGAATCCTCCCTTACCTCGGTTTTAGTTGCTAATTTCCTAATAGGTTCTAAATCAACACCATTTAATATAATATTGTTCAATTTAATTACACCATCACTTGATCGCACTACTATTTTGGTTCTCATGTGAGGGAACATGTTTTTGTGGTCACCAATAAAAAATGTGTCCCTCATAAATGCTTGTTTTTCAGAATTCTGGTCACATAGAGACAATGGGGAGGTAACTCTGTCAGTAATGAGATAATCCATAAATGAGGCACCACTACTACCTGGATAACCTAGCCACATAACCTACAACAGATACAGACCAAATGAATTAAAGAAAGCAAATACGAAAAATTTCAAACCTATGTTTCTACATCTTTTCTCATTGAAGTCATTTTGTAAGTGCAACTTGCATATAGTTCCTAATTCATAATGGCCGACCCAAAGTAAAAGACATAAACAGAGTTTAAAATCCTAAAAATGGCAGATCTAAGATCTATATCTTTAATATCAAATGAAACACCATTAAACAAGATCTTGAAAGTTAAAGAATCTCATGAATGAATGCTATCGTATTTTCTAGTTAAAATACCTGTATAGGTGCAGGTCGAAGTGCAAATAATTCATTCCTAGCTCCTTTGGTATAACCATTCATATTAATCAATATATCTATACCATCAGAATAGATCTTATCAGCTGCTTTACCATTACATGGTATCTATAATAGAAACAACACATTATTAATATCCCTGAGAAATTAATAACAGCTGAAGTGGAGCAAATATATTCAAAGAACATACACTGAAACCTAATTCAGAATATTATTGAAAACACATAAAGAAATATAAAATATCTTATATATATATCATGTATTATATGATTTTGTTCTACCTTGTGCCTTGAACAAACACCATGAATGCCCCAAAAAATATTTTTCCAGTTTTTATTCTGAATTGAAATAAAATGTTAACTAGAGAACATACCTGAGATAAATCAACAAAATGTTCAACTTCTCGTACTAATTTGGCTCTGAAAGTTGTATTATCATCAGGACTTAAAGAATAACAAAATACCTGAAAAGAGATCAAAATCTATTTTTAAATGTAAATGTATTTTGAATTATCATCAAATATTTACCTATAGCCTTTTGGGGACTTGTATATTTCGTATATTAATCAAAAGTGTAAAAAAGAAAAAAGAGATTTTTTTCTTTTTAATCAAGCCTTTTAAGAACTTAAAAGAATTAAAGGGGCATTCTACTTTTTTTGTAGGTCGAAAAAATCTTTTGCTCAAATTTGTAAAAATTTTAACTAAAAAAATCCAGCCATGAATTTTTTAACGCCAAAACTTTACGTTTAAGATTGCGTAACCTTTTAAAATTCGTTATGCTTTTTGCGAGCTGATAGAAAACTACTGTACGGATTAAAGTAAAATAAATTTATTGCAGAGAAATATGTCTCATGCGTTTTCTAGAGGTTTTAACTCATAACATCAAGCCATTATAAAGTCTATCACCGAAACCAGTTCAAACTGATTAGTTAACAAGTAGTACCCTCAGTTTTTAATTAACCCTTTTAAAACAAATTCAGTTTATATAAATAGCATATTTTAGAAATATTTTCAGGTATAATTTACGACGTTTTTGATAATGAAAATGTTTTACAAAAAAAGCCGAATACCCCTTTAAGACATAAAATTATGGTGGAAACTGACCTCAACTCTAGAAGTATCATGTTGTCCTGGGATACTCTGCATTAAGTGAGATGTAGGATGATTACCAAAATCAGAACTAACATAACCAATCTTTAATCTACTACCTTCATCTCGACTCTTACTGTGTTGATAAGGTGGTTTATGTAGCACATTAATCTATAATACAATAGTCAAATAATAAACTTAATAAGATTTACATAGTACTATTTGATAATATCTGTTTAAAGAAATAGTGATAAGACATTCACAGTGATTTGTTTTTGAAAAAAAAACCAAAAAACTGATGTAGTAAAAACCATACCAAAGTCTTTTAACTACCAATTGAATTTAGATAACTTGAAACAGTATAAAATAGTTAATTATTCCTCAAAAGTAATTAATTATTATCCCCAAAATGTAGTAAATCTATTATCAAAGTATCCTGGAGGTTGTGCTCTTAAATGGATATCCAGCTTGAGTACTATATCCCACTTGGTTGTGTCAATATTTCACTTGATCATCACATTATCTCCAGGGTAACAAGCAAAGACCTACATTACAGCTCAATACAGGCAGCACACACTCATTTAGTTGAAGATCAACTTACCTTTTCAAGACACAGACTGGCATGTCTAGCTGCTATTGCTTTTCTCATACCATGTGTTAGAGGATATAACATACTATGATGAGGGTGTACTGATGGTAATCTATTCTTCTCTAGTTGATCTTGTACAATCTGAACCAACCTCTTCATTCTTTTACTATAGTCTGACCAATCACACACAATCTACAGATTATAAATCAATGAATTGAGTTCTGATTTAATACTTAGTTCATCATTTATTATTAATCATTTTTAGCTATGAAGACTCTTCAAATTGATGAGAAACTCAGTCACAGAATGACATCGGGTGTTAATTCATCCAAATCATTTCTGATTCAGCGGTGATTTAGACAAAAAATTATTTCAAAATGATGAAATTTAACCACTATGGTAAATGATGTTAACTTGACCACTACGTTAAATTAACCACTATGTTAAATGAAGTTAATTTGACCACTAGGTTAAATGTGACCACTATGTTAAATGATGTTAATTTGACCACTATGGTGAACTACCCACTATGTTAAATGATGTTAAATTTACCACTATGTTAAATGATGTTAATTTGACCACTATGTTAAATGATGTTAATTTGACCACTATGTTAAATGATGTTAATTTGACCACTATGTTAAATGATGTTAATTTGACCACTATGTTAAATGATGTTAAATTTACCACTATGTTAAATGATGTTAATTTGACCACTATGTTAAATGATGTTAATTTGACCACTATGTTAAATTAACGACTATGTTAAATGATGTTAATTTGACCACTATGATAAATTAACCACTATGTTAATTTGACTACTATGTTAAATTAACCACACCATGTTAAAATATGTTAATACATTACCTGTAGACAATGAGCTAGGTTACAATAAGCATCAGGAAAATCAGGTTTTAATTTTAATGCTGTTCTATAAGAGGCAATAGCTTCAGGTATGTTACCAGAATCCTACAATAAAACCGGATTCATTTCTTTAATTTTAAAGTGTATTTTTTACAATGAAATGTGGACCTACTGTTCTTGCTTACATTGGGCTAATGAAGACAAGATATCAAGAACAAGAGTATTAACTTATTCTTTTTCATCTTCAACTGTCAAAGGGTCTGTAACAATCACAGCCTCTTAATCTGTTCTACTAGATGCTTTTTTCTATGTCAGCTCCTGTGACATGCATCACTTCTAAGGAAAATACCAGGTTAAGAAATTCCAAGACCTTCTGGTTACTTAGCATCTAATTAAGTTGTTCCTACAGCCACAAGGAAACGCATAACCTCTGAAAACTTTGAAGTTTTAAGTGCTTACCTTATGAATAGAAGCTAAATTACTATGGGCATCAGCGAAGGCTGGATTTATTTTAATTGCTCTAGTGTAACACCCTAAAGCTCCTTTTATATCTTGCATCTCTTTCAATGTATTACCCATATTGGAATATGCATCAGCAAATGTTGGTGATATCCTGAAATTATAGAATATATTGAAATTTCCTCAAATTTATCAGGAAAAAAAATCTAGAGATATTCAGACAACTCTTTTATGACTTAAACAGACCTGTCATTTTTAACACAGAGATCCTATTAAACCATCCATGAGAATGTCTAAGGCCTGTAAGGAAATGCAGTTTAACTTCCAAGCTAGTAAAATATATATAGACTTTACTATATCTTACAATAATCTAATAATTATCTAGTCCACGGTTCATACCTAATAGCTTCTTTATAATGACGTAAAGCTTCATGAAGTTTTCCTTGTTGTTGGAGTACACTAGCTAAATTAGAATGAGCAACAGCAAACTCTGGATACACCTTAAATCAGAAAATATTCATGGTGTAATAATCACATCATCATCAAAACAGCTACGTTATGAGGTCAAGGTCAGCAATTTAGCTCCAGACTAATTATACTATTAGTGTTCTTTCAGATATATGTCTTCTTTAAATTTGAAGAATTTTTTTTGAACATATTTGCAAGCCTAAACTTATTTCATTATTTTGCAAAGAACATCATTGTCACAAAATGACAGACTTACCTCCAAGGCTTTCAGATATAATTCTACAGCTAATTCTGTATGTCCTTGTTCACGTTTAATATTAGCTAGATTGTTGAGAGAATCAGCATGGGTAGGACTTAGTAATAATGCTTTATTATAACATTCTTCTGCTTCTTTCACCTACAATATTTTTTTACATGTTACAACAGCATAAAAATACACAAACACCTAAGTCTATTGGGGTAATAAGTATGATTGTAATGGGAAAATATTGAAGGAATGGTGCTAGGCAATCCAATGTGTTACATTCAGATTCAATTGTTTCTACGGCATCCATTCTCGCTATGCCTGACAATAACCTCTTATGTAGATGGAAGAAAATCTTCTTTTATTGTAAGGCGCAAGTTTACAAAATATAGTTCATCAGATGTTAATTATCTCCCTTGAAGACTCCATCCTCGTTGTAGACAGAAGTCTGAGTGTCAGAGACTAGTAAGATGTCACCAATGGAGACGAACATTAAGCTGACAAATTTATTGTCACATGATCTAATATTTGAAAGAAGTTCGATTTATCCGCCAGCTGCATACGAGGTTATTGTCAGGTGTAGCGAGAATGGCCGCCGTAGATATGATTTATTCAGATTCTGAATGACTTTATTTTACTTGAGTAAAGGTTTTATTCTTGGTACAGAAATTATGATGTCAACTGAAAATAGTATTATAATAACTTGTTTGAGACATATCTGAGGTGTGTCAATATCAACAATATATTTAGTGTGTTTGGACACAGTTTAAAACAATGAACACACAAACCTGTCCCTTTTCTTTTAGAGCATTAGCTAGATTACAGTAGGCATCAGGGAAATTAGGTTGTAATTCTATAGCTCGTTTATAGGTATCTATAGCTAGATCAATTAACCTGAAAAACATTTGAACATTATTCATATTGAAAACATTTACAAATAGAAGTTTTAATAAACAATTTTATTACCCCAGTAGTTTTTCAGTGACGTTGTTAGTATGCGTCTTTTGGAGAGTCCACATGGCTAATAAATTGTTATAATTTTATTAGTTATTGTCACTAAATAATAGTTTCTATGTAAATTGTTAAAACATTCTGTTCAATAAAATAAATATTGTGTTCAATTATTTGTTTATAACATATACTTACCCTTGTTCATAATAAACACAGGCCAAATTGCCATGAACTACAGCATGATTAGGACTTAGATTTAGTGCTCTTAAATAAGCTGCTACAGCTCTGAAAATACAATGGATGCATTATAAAATATTAATTCCATTTTTATTTAGTATTTCCAACTTTTCAACATCAATAAAAATGCATGATATATCAGAGAACCAACAAACCAAAAGTTTGGATAAATCAAATAGTACCTATCAAATATTCTAGCTTCTTTTAAAACGTTACCAAGGTTGATATAGGCATCAAGAAAATTAGGATCTAAAGCCACAGCCTGTAAAATATATAATAGTAATTAAGAGTAAGATTCATATAAAGCTTGGCAGCAGTTGGGCAAACAATTGATAACACAAAAATTAAACTGCAGCTTACCTTGATAAAATCATTGGGTGCAATTAACATGTTAAAATTAGCACATTTCAGAGAATGTATGTTTTATCAAGAAATCCTTTCAATTCAACCAAATAAATGATCACTAAAATTTATTTTCAAAGTTTATGAATTTATAAAAAAAATTACTTCTCATTCTCTTGAATATGTTCTTAGAAACTAATCCTCATAAAGTCAACTTTTCATAGTTTATAGAAACTATATGTTAAACAATAGATCTCTTCATATTTAAAATTACTCTTCATTTGAATCATGTGAAATAGTGAATTTACCTTCTCAAAATGGTGAATTGCTAACCATATTTCACCTTGTGCATTAAACACACAACCTAAATTACTCCATGCTACAGCAAAGTTTGGACAGGTTTCTATTGACTTCAAATAACAAGCCTGAAAGGGGGGCAAAAGAAAGGGGGAGGGGAGAAAAAAAGTATATTAATATTGAGACGAGAAATATTTGAAGAAAGGGACAGCCCTATGCTAGACGCCGCTGCATTGCACTTGCTCAAGTGCCGCTGCGCTTTTGCTGCCGCTCCCTAAGCGCTCGCCCTAAAGATGCAACAGATTTTTCACAGGGGGCTAAAAGTTTTGATCTTTTTTCAAGTTTTAAGATATTTCAAACGTTTAACCCCCTCATCTATTCAATAACTCAACTCCTGGTGGCGTCGGACTCCATTCAGAAATCTGGAAAAAAGCCAAAAACCACATTAGCTCGATAGTCTAAAAAAGAAACATAATATTAAAATATGGATTCCCACCCTTCAATTAAATCTTTCTGATGAAAGTCCCATCCCACCAAGAAAAGAGTATCGCGCGACCGCATGCGTCCGCAAAAAATAAAGGCGTCCGCTGAAGCGCTATTTGTCGCTGCGCAGAAGGGTCAATATATCTTGTAGATTTTTTTGTAAGAATTTAACTTTAGGGCACTTAGCCAAATATTTTATATCTTTTAGATATATTTTTTCTACATTGTTTTGTTACATACAATACCTGCCAGTTGGCTGAAAATAGCAATAATAATCTTGGGTCATACCGTTGAAATTTTAACGTAGGTAGTAGGTATGCTGATGTTTCATTTATCTCTGGAAAGGACATTTTACCCACACACAAATCTAGAACTAATGCAGAAATCGTAAAGAAAAAAAATTAGAATTAGTATGGTTGGAAAAATACCTTATAATATTTCACATTAAATAGAACACAAAACAAGCTGCATTGTGAAACATTTCCAGTACTTGCATAATTCATCAAAATATAATCATCAGAACTAAAAGGTAACTTCATTCAGAAAATTTCTTTGCAAACTACAATGATTTCATGGACATTGTATTTAAATTAACAAGATCAATGTTCAAAGTACTAAAAATTTCAAATTTCCCAGAAAACAATGTGAACCAATAAATGCATCAAAACTATCAAAGAATACATGTTACTAGAAATTGTCTGTCGTCAGATCCTTTTAGTTCAGATTCGGATTGCTTTTCTTTTTCGCTATCTGTAAAAAGAGGGGAATTGGTTAGGCCTTTGTGGAAGCCATATCATGTCTTGGCAATCTTCTGTCAGGTCAAATAAACCATGGTATTTGTAAAACAAGTGATGAGAATTTTGAAATTTTGAGACACAAAGAAAGATAACTCTGATATGACTACCTCACACCATTGATAAACAAGCAGCAGTGCTTCTTTTTTATTAAGAATCATTAAAGAAAATTCATCCGTTTTGAAGAAAAAGAAGAAAACAAACAAGATATTTTAAATAAATTGGTAAAAAGAATCTAAATAATCCAACTGGATACAATAATTTTTAAATAAAGATAATCAGTTGTGTTTGTTCAAAACAGAACTGATCTAAGATAAATTATGTCAAAAAGGCATCCTTTTTCTTTCTCCAGATCAATTTTCTTAAGCAGTTTTTCACATCCCATAATATAAGAATGAGTACTGGAAATGTTTCAACTATTATTTTAAAGGTAGGAAGAGTGTTATTTTTTAAAGTTTGCTAATTTGATTTATTACTTTATTTTTTTTATGTTTTATCCAAATTGTTGTAATGAAGTGCAAATAATAAGGGAAAGCAGCTAATATGTTACTCTTTAATTCATAGATATAAATTCTACCTTGGCCTCATCCAATCTTCCTAATGCTTTCAATAAGTTACCAAGATCACTTCTCACACAATACAAATCCTACAAATTAAATAATATTTAAGAAAATATTTCCAAATTTTACACGATTTCCTTCAATAGTTAAATGTTTTTATTATTAACCCAGACCCAAAAGGAAAGAGTCATTTCTTTTGGTGAACTACTTTAATGAATTTAGTGTACTTAAGTACAGATTAGAAAAGGTCTACCTTTTGAATGATTGCTTTCCAGACAAGATGAAGATATATGCCGAATATTAGATAGGAATCTTCTATATTGTTGTTGTCGACACAATTCTACTGTTCAATGAGATAGTTAACTTTGCTCAAATGAGTTGAGACATTAAGCCTCATTTTCATTAGTCATAGAGCTCATCAAAAACATTTATGGGCAGAAAAAGATGTCATTTTGTTCTGCTGTATGTGTATGATTATGTTATCTTCAATGCAAATTAAATCTGTAACTTACAGCATTATACTGTAATGCAGTGACATAAGCCTGTACAGCATGTTCCATATCTCCTGCTGCTACCAAGGCTGCTGCTAGATTAATATATCCATCAATAAAATCAGGCTTTAATCTTACAGCATGTCTATAATTATCTAAAGCTTCTTGTAGTTGTCCTCTTTCTTTAAAAACATTGCCTAAATTAGAGTAGGCTTCAGCTAACATTGGATTAATCTGTATAGCTAACTTGCTAAAATGTGCAGATCTATAAAAGTACAAGAAAACAAGGTGAATATAAAACTTATGATTGTCCAAAAGTATATCCAATTATACAGCATAATTGATCAATTGATAATTGATATTTTTAGCCAATATCAGCTTATTTAAACCATGACATTGGAAATAACTAAGTTGTGACCAGCATAAAAATCAAATCTGTTGAAAATCTCATCACTATTATTCATATCATTACATACTTAAAACTCAATCAAATCTATCAAAATTGAAGATATTGATGTAAAAAATTCCCATATATATTCATATAAAGACATGCAGTTCCAGCCCTAGTTACTATCTTCATTTAAAACAATGAAACAAACTAAGGATTTATTACCTGTCTAATCGCCTACATTGAAAGTGAATAGAACTTAATAATAATAATACTCCAGTATTGTCAGGTTCTTGATCCCATAACTGCATACAATGTTGTTCAGAGTTTTCATAATCACCAGCTTGATATTCTCTGTGGGCTAATTCAGCCAGCCCTGTGAGTAGAATCATTTTGTCATAACAACTTTATGCAATCCACAAAGAAACCCAAAGTTGTCAAACCTACAATTCTATTTATTTTTTTGAATCCCACCAATGTTGCTGATGAAAAGCTTAGATCAAAAATTATTCATTTGAAATGTGATTCTTTTTTTTTTAACAGAGAGGAGGTGGATTTCCACAGTTCCACTTCCAGTCTAAAAAATGTAGGTCATTTCCAGTCCAAAAATGAATTTAATGTGGGTCAATTTAAATTCTGGGCACATAGCCTTCTGTTTTTAAGTTATTTTTATGCTTCGTAATGTGAGTAGTTGAGCTGAGAAGCTATGAGCTCTGAGAAGGGTTGGGCTATGCCTCTGGGCCAATTTTGGGGGGGGGGGGGGGGGGAGATTTATATCAATTTATAAGTGATTTCATTGGCATCTGTCTTTATCCATTTAGGAACCAATGCTGAATTAGGCCTACCAACAAACAGAGACTATTAGATCAAAAAAACTACAGTATGGCAATAATTCATTTAAGCATTGAGTAAAATTCTTACCAGTTACATCGATTTGAGCCATTGGCATTTCTTTGTTTCTTGACAAAGTCCAAGATGGCGGATCCCTCATCGACTCGGTGTGGAAAAATCACTTTTGAAAATAGTTGTGTAGCTTTTCCGTTACACAAAATCTGTCATTTACTTGTTTTCCGACACCACTTCAATCCTTTCTATTTCTGGGTCTTTACCCATGAAGATAAATTCTCATCCGATGATCGAATGCAACTTCATAAAGCGATCAGAATCGGGCTCCAGACAAAAAATAGGTCAAAACTTCCGCGGTGTGACGCAAATTCAATGGCCCAGAAACTAGCATTATCACAATACTTTCGTTAAAACTTGGTCATTATAGTTGAAATCGCCATGCCTGACTTTAATATCGATACAAAAATACATGTTTCAATTCGTTACAGACATTATCATTAATCTTATTTGGGCAACAATCAATTTTGGGTTTATTCTTTCTCCTTATGCAGATTGCCTGGTTCACGCACCTGTTTATCATTTCGGTGCTTGACGTCGAACCCACGTGGTCCACAGTAACTGTTGATTATTGCGATCAATTTTTACACAGAACGATGTCGGAGTAGACCATAGAAGCAGATCTACACTTACAGGTGCAAATAGGAGTTATAAAATAAGACAACGTATCTAAAATACGTTGTGGACATTGTTTAAATCTAAACTATTTCAACCAGCTAATAAAAATCACGGGACACCAGAGCCGACAGAGAGAGGCGTCCTTATTCTTCAAGGGGGTGTTAAAAGCCCTGTGTATTAAAGATAGGTTCCCTTATTTTCATTTATAAAAGTGATTATGCTAATACTTATATATTAGGTATTCTAATGACTGAAAAGTACCAGTTTGTCTCACATGTCCATAATTAATTCATAATTAGCTAAATTAGAAGAGTCGAATTACCAGCAGAATTTCAATGAGTGACCGATCAATAAAGGTCAAAAAGTCTTTTTTTTTTGTTTATCCAGACTGTACACACATGAGCATTTAAGATCTTAATTATATGCGAGAAGAACATAAAGATTTAAGAATACATGATAATTCATTAAAAACACCAATTTGTCAAATAGTTTGTTTAATTTGACACGAAAAAAAAAAGGAAACCCATAATATTTAACACTTGTCGGAGAAAATCCTCATCTGACACGGTATAGGCTAAATTATGATTTTAAATATTCAAAATGTTTTAAAATCATTTTTAGCTCGTTTCCGCCTTCAAAATGTGAACATACGATACAGATAAGTTGTGATCACGTCTTTCATTCATTCCCGAAGGCCAGGCAAGGTAAATAATGCGCCCACTGGCAGCGTTGATTACGAACGAAAAATATTGGCAGTACAGTTACAATCATAGATGTCATAATATAACTATTATAGGATATCTATGGTAACAATCAACAGTATTAAATATTCAGCGTTCACTCCTTTTGAACTTTTCTAGGTGATCTCATATATAGGGCCTAGAGTCATAATCTGTGTCCTCGAGCTAAAAATTGAAAACCTTTTCAAAAACAAGAAAACTAGAGCCACACGTGGCACAGAGTGGGACTTTGCAAATGTAGCAAATTGCAAAAGACCCCGAAAAAATCAACCTTCCACGATAATTAGATCACGTGCAAGAACTGTCTAAAGTTGAGAAGTTTTCATTTTTTAGAAGATTCTAATACCGAAAGTAGACGTCAGACCTCACAAATGATAGTATCAGCCGAAACAACCGAACTTCTAAGACAAAGCGGCTCAAAACATGAGATAATTGTATGCAAAGTTCCATTTTGAACAAACGTATACTTTGCGAGTTATGCTACTGGCCAAAAATATCAATAATGAGTAATATAACCCAGATGTGCCACGCCCACCTTAATTTTTTTACATAGGGTTATTGATATTCCAAATGTTATGTTGTGTTTTAAATTCAAGCTTATTCAGGTCAAAAGATATAGGTCAACAAATGTCAACAAAGGTCAAAATCGAAAAATGAAAATATCCGAATGTTAAAACCCGTTCCTTTTTTGGAACTATAAAGCTGAAACAACTGAGTTGTTAACACAAACTGGCCAAAAGGATGAGGTAATTGTGTGCAAAGTCCCTTTTTTAACAAACGTATCCTATGCGAGTTATGCCCCAGCCCCAAAATGTAAACAATTAGTAATTCAACCCGGATGTGCCACGCCCACCCCAATTTTTTTGTCATAGGTGAATTCATATTTAAAGTGTCTAGTTGTATTCCAAATATCAAGGTTCTACATAAAATAGGCCATAAGATATACATACACCAAGATCAAAAAGACACAAATATGGTAAAACAAAACTCAAATTTGAAAAAATCACGAATTTCAATTTTGCTTTAAAAAAGCAATTGTTTTATATCTATGTAAAGTGCATGAGAAGCACATTAGGAAACCGCAAAAATTAACCCTTTGGGTGCATTAGGTCACGTGCTAGAGCAGTCCAAAGTTGCGAATTTATATCAAAATTATACACGCCCATTTCTTCATAGAGGCCCCATTTTTCGATTTACAAAAGTGTCTTTTTTCAATATGGCGGCCGAAGTATCACTTCCGGTCTGGATTTTATTTTAAAATCGGCCATAGAATTTTATTTGCTAAAGATCAGCTAAATTTTGTTGACCTACATAAATTACACCGGAAGTTATTCAACCGGAAGTAGATTTGAAATTCAGTCGCTTTCCTGTTCAAAAGCGGAACTGACGTACAAAATTTGACCGTACCGTATTATTTACATTAGTAAAGTCTCTTTGCATTTAAAGTTTCAGATCAATCGATGCAAAAGCAAAAAAGTTGCAAAAAAATCGAAAAATTTGATCGAAAAAAGTGAGCGACGAATTTTCGAATTTCGTAATTTTTCAAGTGCTATCAGGTCAGAAATTACAGGTAGGTTGTAAAAATGAAAACTCAAAGAAAATCGATGCAAAAATACGCCTTCTAGAGCCGATTTTCGACTTTTTGCACATGTTGAACTGTGGCACTTCCGATTTTGCAAAAATGTTCCAATATATATTTAAGGAACAGATGGTCTAGAGAAGTTGAATGGTTGCTGCAACTACTGTAGTCTAAGCTCAGGAAGGTGTGTAACTTTCGAGAAAAAAAAAAAAAAAAAAAAAAAAAAAAAAAGAACTGACATTTCGATAACAAACTGGGACTTTGCTTAAAGTCCCACAATAACTCTTACTAAATATTTTGCAATTCTTCAACAGTGTTCATCCTTGGGTGAAAGCAGACACACACACCAAGTTTTGTCAAAATCCGTCAAGTGTTGAGCCTTCTAGAGAGTTTACGGGCTATAGATTGAACACAGAACATTAAATATTTTTCTCGGTTTTTCTGATTTTCAATAATATTCATTCGTGGGTGATAACAAACTCTCACATTAAGGTTTGTCATAATGTCAAGAATAAAGAATTATGCCTTCAGGTGTTTACGAGCAAAAAATTGAAAGCCTTTTCAAAAACAAGGACAAAAACTCTTACGGAATATTTTTCGATTTTTCTGATTTTCAATAGGGTTCATCCTATAACAAACAATAAGGAAGCCCGTAAACACTCTTGAAGGCATAATTCTTGACAATTTTGACGAAGCTTGGTGAAATTGTTTATTATCACCCATGGATGAACCTTATTGAAAATAAAAAACCGTTTTATAGGAGTTATTGACCTTATCCTTGAAAACGCTTTCAAATTTTAAAATTTAATACTAAATGGCACGACTCTTGTCGGATTTTGACAAAACTTGGTTTTATTATTCAATATTGCCCCAAAAAGTTCAAAAGAAGTGTATGACTGAAGGTTGAATATATCATTCTGGACGTTGTTACGGTACTTCCAAATGTTTTGATTCAAAACCAAAGCTGCTAGTGGGCGTATATTACCTTGCCTGGCAAGCTATTTTATGCTCTTCTTACAGAGACAAATGCACCATTCTTTTTGACCAATCTATACTTTAGTCTCAGAAACAGGTTTTTTTTTAAGCTGAGCCAATCAGTTATAGTGTTCACAGCTCACCATCGAAATTTGAGCCTTCAAATCCACGTGTGTGTAGAATTATCCGCCTTTGAATGTTAACGACTCGTCATATATACTCGATACAAGATACTCTGTTATATAGAAAAGACATAATATGTAAAAATAGTGTTAAGTAATTTTGAAGGCGTTATGCGATTTTCGTACATTTCTAGTACTTCTGAAGACTTATTCAAGACTAAAATCACCCCACCCTTTTAACTATCCCTTTATGACTTTAGATATATTATTATATAGCTATATAGTAGAGGAAAGGTTGGTAAATTGGACAACCTAAGGCAATATGTCGGAAGTTCAAAATTTCCTTATGCCTCCAATTTCGGTGGGTTCGTTTTGCCGCATTGCCCAACTTGCCGCATCGTGCCTAACTGCACAAAAACGACGAAACTAAAGGTTTCTGATAAAATCCGGAATGG